GGGCGGCCCCAGGCGGTGCGTGTCGGGGGTGAAGAGAGAGAGATGACCGTGGGGGGCCTGGAGCCCGGGCGCAAGTACAAGATGCACCTGTACGGCCTCCACGAGGGGCGGCGCGTGGGCCCCACGTCCACCGTGGGTGTGACAGGTGAGTAGTGCTCGGGGCCTCAAAGATAACTGCCTGTCCCTCACGAGTACCTCCTGACTGCTTGCTCTCTCCACGACCTCCGTGGGTCTAGGACTTGCTCCCCTTTCATGCCCTCCCTTCATGGCCTGGGGCACCCCTGGCCTGGAGGATTGGCCTTGCCCTCCTGCAGCCTCATTGTCCCCCTGGTGTGGCATCCCTGTGACAGCCAGCCACTGGCCACTTCCAATGGCAAAATATGGCAGGCACAGGCCAATCTGACCTGCCAGAGTTTTCCTTTCTTCGCCTCTTAATCACAGCATTCTTTGTTACAACCACATACGCACATGCACACAAGAGAAACAACCAAGGTCAGACATCTCAGGATAACTAAACAATTTAGGCAACATCTATAAAATGAGCTGGTAAGCCACCACTGAAATGTTTTAACACAAGACCATTACTCTGGGGAAAAAAAAAAGAGCCCCAAGTTTTAGTAAGGATGCTAATCACAACCATTTGCAAATCACAGGCATGTTGTAAGCTATAGTTGTGCTAGAAAGAAAACAATGGAGAAAAGAAAGAGTCACGACAAGGAGACTGGAAAGAAATCAAGGGGCGTGGTCTATTAGACGAATAGACTGTTCCATCACATTTTCTTTCTGTTTTATTCTGTTCTGCATTATCCAAATTTTCTTAAATGGCATTTTCTTTTATAATCAGGGGAAAAGAGAAAAATATAATGTCTCCTTCTCATTTACACTCCTTCTGTCTTCTCCGTCACTCTTGTAACTGATTTCATTTTTAATTATGAGAAAGTCAACATTTCTAGTCCGTGAGAATCGGGGGCATAAATCACAAGGCGACTGAAACTCCCCAAGGGCAGGCAGGCTGCCTAAGCCATTCTCAGCCAGAGTCTCATGCCTGGTTCCGAGCGTTTCTCAAGAGCTCCTACGCGTGGGGACCAACGGCCCCTCTGCCAATCAGTCTCTTGTGGGACACGTCCCAGCGCTGTGGCAGTAGGCGAACACTTTGCGCGGTGCACTGTCGTCTCCTGAAGCCCGTGCAGGCAGGCGAGCCTTTCCCATTCGGCCTCCCTGACCACGGGGGAGAGGCCTCATTCCTGCAGGTGCGCTCAAAGGACCGCTTGTGTGTGGGGGGACAGAGAGAATGGGGAAACCATTGGAAAACGGACGGTAGAAAAATTCACACCCTGGGGGTAAGCTGTTAATTCTCATCCACTGCTTGGTCTTGTTTTCTCTGCGCCTTTTGCGGCCAGTGGAGCACGCACGGAGGAGAGGGGGCAGCGGGAGGGCCGCTCCTGCCCTTTCTGTTCCATCTGCGCTGCCCGCCACCCCAGCCAGCCCCCCAGGATTAGTAATTTTTATAGCCCAGAATTTCTTTAGTGGCCAAAAAGGCTGCATTTTTCTAGCAAAAAGAATATAGTAACATTATGGAAAGCTTGAAAAATGGGGGAAAAAATCTCATAATGCCACCTGTGACCCAATGACTGTCACAAATAGCAGCGTGCGTAGCACACGTTCCCGTTCTGCATTTTGCACACAGCGCGTGTTGTAAAGTTGCCGTCGGAGCGTCCACACAATTCTTGGCTCTTGGTCTTTTGTACACAAGTTACGTTGTCATCATTCACCGTGTGGCTACACAACCAGCATTAATCATCATTTCAATGGTTGTTGGAAACTCTACGGTGAAAGCGCGGTCACAAAATTAATCCTCTTCCATGGGTCATTTGGGTCGCAGACACATTTTGCTGTCATGAATAATCCCATAACGAATTCTTCCATGCTTTAACTTTTTCCTGCTTTTAATAGTTTTCTTAGGATAGATGCCCAGAACTGGGATTACTGGGTCAAAGGAAATGAGCGTGACTTTGCCTCCTGACACGCGTGTCCCAGGTGCCTTCGGAAGGGTTGCAGCGGAGCAGTCCTGCCGGCAGCACGGGACGGGGCTGGGGGCTGCCTCACAGCCGCTCCTTCCAAGAGTGACCGAGTGGCACATACGAGGACTGCGCGAGCCCCTAGCCTACAGCTGCAGTATATTTGATGCGTGTCCTCTACTGTCTACTGTCGACACCAGACGGCATATCACCCGTTGAGACTGTACCCCCATCTCTTCTTTCAGCCCCGCAAGATGTGGACGAGACCCCCAGCCCCACAGAACCCAGCACGGAGGCCCCAGAGCCCCCAGAGGAGCCACTGCTGGGGGAGCTGACGGTGACAGGATCGTCCCCAGACTCGCTGAGCCT